TCTTTTTCTGCCTTCACAGGCCTGCTGTGGAGCAAAACATCCCTGAAGCATTCCCTGCTCCCACACACACCATCATGTCCTCAGAGGTTCTGTCAAAAAGGGATCAGCAGCTTTTTCACTACCCAAACAAAACCCTTATCCAAGAAACTTTTGCACTCCCCAAGATTATTAACCTTATCACCAGATTGTTCCAACTGTGCTCTTTAAAGACATCATGTAAATAGTGGCTTTGTGCATATGCAGAATATCTTCATATAGCCCTCAATTCCAGCCTATGTATTACTTCCTGATCAAAAATGTCTGAAAAATAAAAAGCTTGGACATGTTAATAGCTCTGGGAGGGGTGCAAAGGCATTTTGAATAAAGGACAGGCAGAGCAGATAGCTGAGGATGCAAGAGAACTTTTGAGGCAACAGTCTAGATCTCTGTGAAATGAGTTGTTAGGGTGACTGGCAAAAGCTTGAGGCAAAAAGGGATATCTGGGGAGTTGGTGCAAGATGAAAATGCATGGTGATGGTATATGGGTACAAACTAGGTTGGGGGATCTGGTAGGAATGTGGGGTTGCTAGTGCTGTTGAATATTTATGAGGAGACTGAACACTGAATGAGTGGTGGAAAGATCCTTCATGGTGTAGTGGGACCTATCACCTTTGTTTGCCATCATTTTTCCTTCCTCTGGATCATTCCAGTAAAGAAGCTTCCCAGTAGTAAAGGATGAGGTGGTCTTAAAATCAAATGCAATTCATCCCGGGAGCTCAGCCAAGAAGTGGGAATTGCTGTGTGACACGAGATGGCTGATAGAGGCACCAAATAAATTATAAAGTTAGGTGGGAGAGAAAGAGAAGATTATACTGAGAGAAGTCTCCGTAACATAAAGCCTCAGGCCCAGGTCAGCCAGAAGCAGAAGCATAATTTACTCCAACTTTGCTCCTCCCCAAAGGCAGATGAAGAAATATGGGTCAGTTCCTTCATAAAGACAACTCAGTAATGTTTACAAAGAAAACATTCAGAAGTAGTCAGATACTTGAACTAATGGTCTTGCATCAAAAGTGTATAGAAGCATGGGTGTCGCAAACCTATGTCTTAGTAATGGTGTGTGGAATAATTACTGAATATGATTTAGAAATTAAACTTATATTTAAAAGTGTAGCATTGTTCACACATAAAGGAAAAACAGACTTTCAGGGTAAGATGCAGCTGCAGCTGGTATGCCAGGAATTCACTCCACAGCGGTTCCCGTGCCAACATTGCTTGACAGGATGGAGCGGAGTGCAGATTGTGCTGCCAAGCTCTGTCCCAACACCAGCAGAGATGGGAACTAGGTGGTACTTGAAACTGATAAACTGCCTAATTGCTGCCCTGAGCCAACAGTCTGTCATCCTTTGACAAAACACTGTCCTTTGTGTGAACTTTGCTTTATTATAATGCATTTTAATACAAAAACACACCTCCATCTCCAGTGCTACCCACCTCTAAAGTGAGACCACCCCTCTTTGAGCATGGTCTTTGAATTTCTTGTGGTATATACCTCTAAAAGCGAAGCGAGAGAATTTTACACCAATAACAATAAAGGTATGTATGACTAGAGTCACTCAAGCTCCACCTTGAAAGTGAAAAATAGTATAAAAATGGCCCAAGGAGTGGGGGGCATTAGGGAAGACTTCATGGGTGAGTCGAGGAAGATTCTATCAACAGATTACCCCTGACTCCTGGGACTGGTCGACGGACTGGACCTTTCTTCCCCCTCCATAGGGATGCCTTTGGGTAAGACTTACACTGTATCCAGTGCTTCCCCGGGAAAATTAGGAATCTCTATGTAGAGCTACTTTTTTTTTACTTTTATACTTTAGAGCCAGGCTGTATAACTTTGTTGCGTGTTTGTATACCTTATTATTTGCATGTGCTTTTGCAAATAGTGTATTTATCACTGGCAATCCATAAAAACCTGAATCTGTTGCTTTAATAAACTGCACTGTTTAAGTAGCTAGTCATAAATCTCTCATTGAACATGACCAGATCCTTCAGTGTGGCCATGTTAGCTCGTGAGCACGATTAGACTGAAGGTGCAGTGCACTCACTATTAGTGCATCTGGAATCATGATTATTCAATACATTGATTGCAACTGGACTGATAGTGGTAAATTGGGCATCACTCAGAATCTAAGCCTAGCCGCACCCAGCTCCTCTAATATTTGAGAACCAGCTGGAACGCAAGGGGGTTTATTTTCTGCCAAATTCCCTTACCTTTTAACGTAACATGGTGTCTTGGAAGGGGAGTCGTACATTAACTCAGGCTGCAGATCATGTCATATAAATTTTTTCTTGGATGGAAATGTCCAAATTGTACATATGCACTGGCTTCAAAACTGTATCCGTAGTAAACACAATTATAAGTCTGGCCTTTCTTTATAAGTCTCTCTTTCTTTATAAAAAGTCTCAAATGAAATACCCAAACTGATAAAACTCAAATTTACAAACTCACAACAGCTTTAATTACCACTTTCATTTTATAGACATACATAACACAAATGTGTTCACATCACTGTGCTAGGCAATAAACTTAAATAACATAGGAGCAAAGGTTACTTTTACAAGAAAAAAATTATAAGGAGGACAGAACAGGCAAAATGACATGTTATAGGGGTGTCTGTTTCATTAGGACAGATGAGTTAAGTGACTAATTAATACAGAACTGATCTGAATCATATTTAGAGAAATCTGGACCACTCATCTCTGCTCTAATAATGGAATAGAGATGAAGCACCTAAAATCAACATAGAGGTTTCCACAAAGTCAAATGTCTTCTGGCCTAAGTAATTAACCACGAGTAGAGCAAAATGAGGGATTGGAGAATTACTTTTTGAAACCAAACTGATGTTGCAGAAAGCCAGCAAGTACTTGAATGACCATCGTCTTTAGCAGTGCTTTCAAGTCTGAATGCAGGTTCTCCTGGGAACGGTCCTGTCTTGAAAGGAACTATAGCTGTATCTAGTGTACCTTGCTTGTCCTTACTTTACTTTTGGAGAGTTTGATATAAAGTCCAACTCCGTACTGAAGAAAGAAGTGATGCAAGCACAACATTGGTTCACTCTGTTTTACTAGACCATAGAGTCATAGAATCATAATATAGTTAGGGTTGGAAAGGATCTTAAGATCATCTAGTTCCAAGTCCCTTGCCATGAGCAGGGACACCTCGAATTAAACCATGTCGCCCAAGGCTCTGTCCAACCTGGCCTTGAACACCACCAGGGTTGGAGCATTCACAAGCTCCTTGGGCAACCCATTCCAGTGCCTCACCACCCTCACTGTAAAGAACTTCTTCCTTATATTGGACCACACTGCTTTATAGACAATTCTGACCCCAGAAACATCAAGTAGAGTGGTAATGAGATGAGAAATGATGGGCAAGGCCGAGATAATCACAATAATCACAGCAGATTAGTCCTCAAAGGGAGATCCTCAAAAAAGCACAAAACCACATTTTAACTGTGTATTTCATTGATGGATCCAGCCAATCTTCCAGGTTATGGTAGGTGGTCCATTCCACCTACACAAGGACCAGCATCTGGGCACTAAGAATAGGGCTGTAAATTATTCTGAAATCAAGGTAGACTAGCTGGCATACTGCACTGAATGTGCTATAATTTCCTCCTTCATATGCACATAACATGCCTAATGTTACAATCATAGAATCATAGAACAGTTAGGGTTGGAAAGGACCTTAAGATCACCTAGTTCCAACCCACCTGCCATGGGCAAGGACACCTCACACAGAACCATGTCACCATGTTCTGCTACTCCATGTTTTCCCATGGACAAGAAAGGGCTTGGGTCCTCTGGCCTAATTTAATCATAGAATCATAGAATAGTTAGGGTTGGAAAGGACCTTAAGATCATCTGGTTCCAACACCCCTGCCATGGGCAGGGACACCACACACTGAACTATGTCGCCCAAGACTCTGTCCACCCTGGCCTTGAACACCTCCAGGGTTGGAGCATTCACAACTTCCTTGGGCAACCCATTCCAGTGCCTCACCACCCTCACTGTAAAGAACTTCTTCCTTATATCCAATCTAAACTTCCCCTGTTTAAGTTTAAACCCATTACCCCTTGTCCTACCACTAGAGTCCCTAATGAAGAGTCCCTCCCCAGCATCCTTATAGGCCCCCTTCAGACATTGGAAGGCTGCTATGAGGTCTCCACACAGCCTTCTCTTCTCCAGGCTGAACAGCCCCAACTTTCTCAGCCTGTCTTCATACGGGAGGTGCTCCAGCCCTCTTATCATCCTCGTGGCCCTCCTCTGGACTTGCTCCAACAGCTCCATGTCCTTTTTATGTTGAGGACACCAGAACTGGACACAATACTCCAAGTGAGGTCTCACGAGAGCAGAGTAGAGGGGCAGGATCACCTCCTTTGACCTGTTTCCTGTTCAACAGACATGAAAGAAAAAATCCACAAGCAGATAACGTAACTTGTTCTTTTTTTTTTGGTCAATCTTGAGACACCTTGAGATTCCTTTTAAAGGAGGTTGCTGTTCCATGGGTAGGTGTAACATGTTTCTGTGTGCAATTCCCATTAAATTCTCTCATGTTATCTCAAATCAACTAATTAAATCACTAATCGTTATGACAAATCCTTGCCACTATATAACTGTTCCAAATGAAGATTAGCAATAGTGCTCTTAAAAACTGGAAATGGCAGGAAACACTAACAAAGATGTGATAAACATGCTGGGCCTGGGAGAAGTTAATGTAGTTCCTTTTTATTAGGTGCTAATCTGTTGACTCACACCAGCTTAAGGTCTAGCTTTTCACAACAAAACCAGTGGATTTTATACGCTTAAAGAAAAAAAGAACCAGGGTTGTGACTCCGGTCTATACTGTGTGAGAAAAACAGCTCACATTCAGGACAAGAAGTTTACAGAAGTCTCTTGGCACTATGGAAAGCCATGAAGGATTCAAGCTGGCAATCTTTTAGGTGTCATATTACAATGTGACAGCAAATCATCCTTCTAGAAAAGCTCAGACAGAAGTTACACCATTCTGGTACACAGATGTTTTCCTTTTTGGGCTGTTTTTTTCGAGCAGTGATAACTGAGTGACGTAGTTGACTGGACTATTTTCTCTGGACAAAGTTTTGTGTTTGTGTGTGAAGTTCAGGTATTCTTGATACTGCCATTTGCACAGTTGTTTCTTCAGTTCACTTTGAACCTATAGAAAAGAAAATTAAAACCAAAGAATTGGAAACTTAAGGCTTAGTGGACAAGGAATGTAAAATATACCAAGATGTCTGCCTGACTACTTTGCCCAGATGTACAAAGGCACCCAAATCAGTCAGGATTAAATCTTCACACATTTTTAGAACTTAAACTATGTCACTGTTCACTTTTCAAAATAAACAGACTTAATTTCCAAAGTTCACAGGATGAGAGGACAGTTTTTTCTGAGGTTTCTTTGTTTACTATTGTAAACTGCTTCATAAATATTTCTACTTTTTTGTATAAGTTTTATTTTTCCTCATACTGAATCTTTGTGCTTCCTTGCTGTGACCTGCTATATACAACAAGGGTTCTTCTCCAGGCTTTCAGTTTACGCAGATTGAAATCCCTCTTAAACATCCCTTACTGACTCTGAAAGATACTGAATTGACTTGAGTACATTACGTTTGAGAGAGCTCTCAGGAATCCTCAAAAGTACAGGCAAAACTGATTTTTTTTACCATCTGACACACAATAAACAAGTAGATTGAACAACCCTGGAAGTCCATGGCCTGCTATTGACACTATTGGGGCAGAAGTGAGGAAGCAAGGGAAAAGTAGCTTCTGTTGCCCTACATAAAGCAGCTCACATGCAAAACTGTAGCAGAGGGAGTGCAAGGTGCAAGAAACACGCAGTCGTTGCCACTGTTCCCATAAGCAGTCTGTTCCTGTGGATTAATATTATGGATTAATTGGTTGCTGTTACCTCTGTTGGTGTTCAGCTTCATCTCTATCTGCTCCTGTAATGGGGGTGGCTTCCCTGAATGTCTCAAAGTCTTACAAATGCCATCCTAAACTAATATATGTCAAATGCTCCTGACCACATAGCTGCATCTTCTGTGGTTGACATTAGTGCTGAAAATCTATGACAGTGTTATAGCTGTAGCACCAGTAGCACAAACCTATTCCAAATGAAATGAAAAAATAAGCTGTAAAGTGAAACTATTAATTCTTACAGGGGATGTTTGGATGGACAAATGTGATTCAAGTACTCTGAACTTAGGAATTCATCTAGTAATTCTGTTATCTATCCTCTGTTAATTATGGTCTTTATAGTGACACACAGACAAGCGGGTGGGATGTGCAGAAGTACATCTTGGTCATCAGGGGTCCCTGAAAGTCATTGGAAATATTTATCACTGAGGTGCCCCTTATTCTGCCTTTATTCTCCCTCTTAAGCACACAGACATGCCAGTCCTGGTGTGCAACTTCAGGTATGGGCAGAACATGCCCTCTGGAGCTTTGAAGACCCTAAAAATTAAAAGATGGGCTTCCTACACCATTCCACTACTCCAGTATTATCCCAGCAAGCTCAAAGTCCTTCACCACTCTTGCATACAATACCAGCCTTCAGTTTCATCCCATATAGAAACCACCTTGTTTGGCAGCAGCACAGTCTCTCACATTGTTGCAGATACTTAAAACTGAGGAAACACATACACACAGAGAAAATAATAATTATTTTTTATGATTGTAGGAAACCATAACAGATGCAGTGCCAATTTGTAACAAGTAGCCAATCTGCTCCAGAAGCAGTTATCCCTAAGCAGCATGAATGCAAGCCAACCCATACCACTTAATCCTGGGGCCAGAGATCACTCTCTGTGACATGTTTTAGACATTATTTGTCATTGGGTAGGGTTAGTTTCACCTACATTTAGCTACCCTTATGAGAAGTATCCAGTCTAAGCTACTAGGGAGACTGAGGCACAGTTAGTGTATCATTCTTCTCATCTAACCTACACACTTTTTGAGAGTGAGATGTGTTTTCACATTTTCTTGTGGCTTTTGGTTCATTCTGCTCTTCTGGGGAAAGTGCAAGCAAATTTCGCTAGGTTTTAAAAGCATAGGATCTCTAAAATATACTAAAGGAAATTTATCCAAATTCTAATATTACAAAAAATGGGAAGGGAGTGTTTGAAAAAAACTACTGAAAATGCATGGGCTGCCCTGGAAAAGAGGAAGGGAAAGGGGAAGGGAGTGTTTGAAAAAAACTACTGAAAATGCATGGGCTGCCCTGGAAAAGAGGAAGGGAAAGGGAAAAGGAAAAGGAAAAGGAAAAGGAAAAGGAAAAGGAAAAGGAAAAGGAAAAGGAAAAGGAAAAGGAAAAAAAATCACTAGGAGAAAATAAAGAAAGTAAGCAGTGTTACAAGATTTCCATCATGATTTCCAGCATGAGACACCATCATGATAGCTGTCAGATTTAAAGCAGAAAAAGTCCCCTGTCAGGGAATTCATCAGCCATTTGTAAAGGTTCATTGCTTCAAAACTTATTTTGTGTTCATCATAAGTATGTGAATACAGACAAGTCAACAGAAGTACCAAGGGAAAAACAGACTTAAGTATGTTACGCTTTCAGGAGCAGACCGAAGCACAGATCTGTTCCAGAAAAAAAAGAGGCCCACAAGCTTAAAAGGTTTCGATAATCTTGTGTATTTGCTACTAACCTCTGCATTTGAGAAGCAATATAGAAGAGCAACAACAAAACCCTAGGACAGGGAGGAGAGAGAGAAGAAAATAACCATCAGCATTTAAAACCTAGAATCAGAGAAAAACTTTAGGTTTTATTCAAAATCTGAATAAAACAGCAAAAATTTAATATTTTACATTGTTTCACTGAAATTGAGGTGACGTGGCAATATTTATTGGGTTTTCATAATAGAATTAAAATTTTCAATAGCTGGCAACACTATATGTATAACACTGTCCAAGATAATGTTTTGAATAGTGGTATAACAAAATAAAAGAAACAAAGAAGTATTAATATGATGAATTCACTGCGGCTAAAAGGTAAAAGCAAAGCAGGTTTTTATATTTTATGCTTACTTTTTTATTCCTCTTATCAACTTCATTATATGTGGAATTAGTTTCAATCAGTTCACCTTAATCCATAGACTGGTCTTCCTGACACTCTGTCATTGTTATTTAATAAAGCTAGATACTGTATTTGGGGAGGAGTTGTTAATATGAACTCTGAGTCAGAACTTAAAAGTAGTGTGAGATTTTAAAGAATAAGATAAGGAAACAAACAAGAGAAAGAGGTTGCAAAGGAGTAAGATGGAATGTATATGTTTAATTTAAAAGCATTAACACCTGCTCTAATAACTAACGTAAAATTTAAAGCTCCTGAGAGTGTGGTGTTTCAGATCATACCTTGTAGAACTGATAACCATTTTATCCAGCTTACCTGAAAAGAACCCAAGCCCAGCTCAACATAAAGGCGAGCTTCCAGACCAGTGCTTTCTGGGAAAAATGCAAATACAATGTAGTGCACTCCAAAGAGGGGGATTAAGAGTAACGTAGATTTAGCAAGTCTCCTGTCAAACCAAGAATTAAAGAACAATGCACTGTTAGAAATATGGAATTAGTGATAGTGGTGACATGTTGGACCAAATTTTAATACAGAGGACAGTTCCATAATGGAGGCAACAACATCCAACTAAGTTATGGAAAGATTACTTTCTATCACTCCCACCGTCAACACCCTGGTGAACAAAGATGAACAAATCAGTATGTAAGTTTTCTGGGTTGGTCTTTAAGGGTTCTTCTCCCTGCTATACATGCAAAAAGAGGGGCACTAAACTAAGTACTCTGATCTACTACCCTGAGACTAATCTGAATCACATGTAGGTATCCCTCAATAGAAGTGTCTTAACTTCCAAAACTGTCAATGGAGATGTAATCATCACTGTGAATAGGATTTGATTCAGTTGCTGAAACAGTGGCGTGGGAGCCACTGGTGAAGTCCTTGGGCATTCTGCTTGACCTTTAGCTCACTCCAGAAGGGTACAGGTTTCTGCTAGGTACTGTACCATAACTAACAGCTATACCTACATATCTTAGGATGAGTTAAATAGCTCACTAGAATCCTCTGACTGCACTGATGAGATCTTCACTAATTGTGGAGGGGATCGTAAATAGGAAGGACTAGGTTCAGTTACCAGAACATCAGCATCATATTGCTTCTAAGAATTTAAATTAAATTATCTGTATCTTTCTCTATGTGGCCATTTGTGTGGAAAGGACTGGAGGCAAGATGGATTACCCAACATTTAGTGATTATACTTTCAAGCTGGGTCCTTTTGGAGTTGTAGTACTTTTTGTTTTACTTTTCTCATTGTCCCCAACATATCCAACCCACCCTTTTCTCCCTGAAGAAAAAGAGAGATGTGCTACTTTGGATGAAAAGGAACGTTTATATTGTTTCTTCAGAATATTTATTTCTTCTGGGGATGTCTTTTTCTATTATCTAGGAGTAGAACATATTGTTCTACTGCCCATAAAACATTTCTTAGAATTTCACAGAACAGGCCAATATCAAGAGACCCAGAAAGACTTACACAAAGTGGTTTGAATGGCTCCCTCCTCCCTCTTGAGATTTCAATTTGTGGACTAGAATTCTGATCACATTAATAAATATAATAAAGTTAATCTGAAAAACAAGACAATATCTGTAAACTTACTACAAATCAGGGCATATCTTCATTTGATAAAAATTAACTAAAAGTCCCCAGCCATAGGAATTTCACTGCTATAAACCGGTGCAGATCTGGTCTCAGATCAAATCAATAGCATTAGAAACACTATTATTTTTTCTCAGCAATATCATGGCAGAGGAGTTGGAACTAGATGACCTTAAGGTCCTCTCCAACCCTAACTATTCTATGTTGAAAGCTATATTGAATTCATATAGACCTACATATCTCAATATTGGTTTATGTCTGATATTAGCTGCCTGTATTTGTCAGCACCTAGCGTATTTTACATGGTCTAATCGATGTCCCCTGTTCCCTTCATTGCTTATGACAGGGATTAGACCATATACAGACCTGAGTGACGTACTGTTTCCTCCCTAAATTTACATAGAATAAAATTGTGCATAAGGGAGAACTTTTGCCTTAAGTTCACATCCTAAGAATTTATTTTAAAAATATACTAGATAAAATGATCTGTATGTATTTCCTGTACTAAACCAACTTCATATTAGCTAAGAATCTTGCCAGTATGGATTGTCTTTGACTTACAGAGACACAGGAAAGAATATCAAAATGATTCCATTATGTCTTAGCATGACTCTAAAAAATATAGGATTTAGTCTTTAGGTTGTGATTTAGGGTGTTTGGAGGAAAAAAAAACAACAAACCCACCAAAAGCAAGAACAAACACACATGCTATACAATAATTTCCAGCTATTTGAAATTCAGTACCATAACATGTGCTATTGCTTTTTCCAAGCTTACTGACAGGAGGCACTAACTTAGCTTTCACATTTCAAAAGATACTTAAGACAAAATAAAAAAACACCCATACCAATACAGTTAGCAGAATGGGACCTTTGATGATCCATAACACTACTCCATTCTCGTCATCATCCCAACATCTGAAACAGCAAACAAAACCGGTCATGTTATCTGTCTCGTGAGCTTTCCACAACACATGAAAGGATTTCTGTCACAGAACAGGAAAGTGGTGAACACGAAGTTCTAAATCACCATTTAAAGATCACTGCCAGTACTGGTACCCTGAAATCTCTCACAATGTTTCTGTGCAGCCCAGTCTAAAGGAAGCTTATTCACTAAGAGGCAAGGGTTAAAGAACCAGAGCAAAGTCAAGAAACAAGCATTTGTATTTTCAGGCTTCTTTCCTGCTTTTCTGTTGAAGAAGTGACTGGTTTACAGAGTACAGATCAGAGACTAAAATACTGTGCACCCATGAATGTAATGACTTTGGGTTCATGAGGAAATAGGCAAGAAAAATGTAAAGCCCTAGAAAAGTTACCCTGAAGGAAGAGAGAAGAATGGGCTTTTGGTCAAAGCAGCCTGTTTTGAGTTTTATGTATTTAACCTCAATAACAGTTCAGTTTAACTCCCTCCAGTCACATGTCATACATACTAGGTTGTATCATGCACCCTCTTCCTGTATTTTCCCTTCCAGTTTTGTGACACAGGATACTTGGCTGCATAATGGTAAAACTTATGGATGGTGCCTCACTCCAGCACGTCTGAGTGTAAGGTGTATCTTTGTAATGTGAGCAGTGTGAACTCAGACCAGCTGTATCTGAAGAACTTGGGTTTCCCATTTACTAGGCTATTAGGTAAAAGATGAGTGGTTCTGATACTATAGTTTGTTTATATATATAATATTAGAAAAGCAACAAAATGATGGAGGATCTGCAATGAGATTCATCTGTGTAGATGTCCTCATTCGCCCTATTCAAATACATTTCCTTTGCAGCCAAAGGACATGATAGCAAGATACAATTAATCTCATCTGAAAGTGGACATCTAAAATACGTCAGAGAAGTAAACTGAATAGGTAGGCATTTTTCCAGAAGAGCATGTGAAGTTCATACACTTTTCAGCCTGTCTTTAAGTCTGTGAGAACTTGTCAAGGGGCTTGTTCCTACTCTCCAAATTTCTCTGGACTCTTTCTGTAACTGAAGTATCTTGTACCAGATTCTTCTGTTACAAATCCGACAGAAAACCCCAGCAATTCTTTGGAAGAGGAGTAGTGGGAAAGGAGGACAAATAAAATCTTTCTTGCACCTCTCCTGCCTGTAAAAAAGACACACATAATGTGGAAAGGTAGATGACTTACTCTTACAAAACATTACAATGGAGAACTTCTTCTGCAGATGTTCTCCAATAACACAAAGAAAGGAAGATAGGATGTGCCAAACATGGTGGACCATAGATTTTACTGTTTCTACATCGTTAAACTGAGTCCTGAGTAGGTAGGTGTAAAATAATATATTTTCTGACCAATCATCCATGTGAAATGACCTGAAGGCCTTCAGGGCAGCTTTTAGTAAGCAATCATCTGCTTTATACCTGGCTTCCACATTGAAAGAGAATGGAAAAAAAAATTAAAAAATACTTATCAAGACATAATGTGTTTATTTGGGATGTAATTATTTGAAGAGATTAGGGTTACTAATTTATGGCTGATTTTATATAGAAGTATATATTTCAAGGACTGCATATTAGGAAACTACATGAAGTCAGTACTTACTATGATATTTCCAGGTTTTATTACTCCACATATGCACATCAAAATCAGAAGGCTTTAAACTTTTTTCTCACTTGCTTATGAAGTGTAAAGATTAAAGGCACAACTTTGGAAGATTTTTTTTTGTTGTTGTTGTTTTTTTTATATATATTCCTTCCCCTTCCTCCCCCCCCAAAAAAAAAAATTAATCAAAATACAATAAAAAATAGGATGTCCTTGGCTTCCTTATCAAAGCTCTGACTTACCCAGTATTTTGTTGGTTGATTCGTGTGAGGACCCAAGCAAATATCACAGCAGTGGGAGCCCCTGAACAAATCAACATGGAACACGTAATTTTTTTAATACTGTGTCCCATAGAAACTTTATTCCAAGAATGTTCACAGTGCAGTAGATTAGATAAACATTAAAGGTCAAACAATGGGTCAGACAATTTTAAATAACTTTATGAAAGTACTTAATTTGCAGGACAATGAAATCAAAACAAAGGAGAATAGGGGATGCTGCAAAACGGTGTTTTCAAAAATAACAGCTAAGAATTACTGGAAGGTTTGGATATGAATTACAAGCACTTGTGAAGCTAGAGAAACCACTCATTTAGTTAGAGCTCTTTTATCTTGTGAATTGCAGCCAGCATACAAATCTTTGCACACTAGCTGGAATAGTTCACATTTTTGTCCTAAGGAGCCTCTACTAATCACTCTAGACCCATCTGCTGATGAGCATTCCATGAAAGTTTAGCTAAATCCAGGAACTGGTGCTTTCTAGCCTCACTTTATTACTGCTTATCCTTCTACATTTATGATTAGTTATTTCCTTTTTTTCCTCTTTTCAAGCAGACCTATACACTAGCAACTGCTTTTGCTTTTCTTCTGTGGAATTGAATTTCCAAAGACTAAGTGACTTTCAAAGCTGCCACAAAAAGGACTACAATCTGAGGCAGGCAACATTTTCACTGATAAATCTATAGAAGTATAAGTAATATCTTTCTAAGTATCATTTGAGATCTAGCAGAAAGGCCCAGAAGTTGACCTTCCTAATTGTAGACCTTTATTTAAGGCCTTTAAGATGGGACCATATTCAGTTGAAATTGTCTTTGTAATTAATGAAGAGAAATATTTACATCCATATCACCTAAGATCTGAGTTACCCCTGAGATGTCTTTCATTTTGCATTGATTATAGAAGGAGATGAAGATTACTACATTATTAATTGAGATGTTTCCTTTGTTATCTCAAGTTAGATGGGATTAATCGAGGTTTAAGCATCTAGTTTCAGGCAATCGTAATTGGAACAGCTCCAAAATATTTAATTATATTTTAAAAGTCTGAATATGAAGATGAAGGATAAATTACTCTTTGCTTTGGGAGAATCTGGATTTCACTCCAAACCAAAATATATCAATGTAACTACTCAATTTGGGTGCCTCTATTTTAGAATAGCCAAAGTGAGGTACAAGGATATCTAAGATTCACAATAAACAATTCTACAGTGAAAGACATTTTGTGTATTATGTGCACATATTCTGACAATCAGAGATCATTTTAATTGTTGTATAAAATCAGAAGACTCCTTACAGCCAGAAGGTCCTTGAAAAAAAAAAAAAATTTTTTTTTGATGCCCAGGCATGAAGTCACATGATTTAAGTTGAATCGATCTAATTCTGCTTACTAAAAGCAAAATGTCAACTTAAAGTTAGTCACCCACACTTCTTCAGTCAGTGGAGGAAGGCAACATGTTTCTGGGATGTTATCTAGCCACATTACTCACATTCTTGAGGATTGGATTAATCACCACCACAGCATGCATACCTCACTCTACTGACTGCAGGAGAAACCTGGAAAGATAGTTTAAATTAGATGGTTAAGTTTGAAATTACTGTAGCTGCATGAAATTGCTTCCAGTCATAAAGATGAGTGCTGCAGTGTTTTGAGTAGGCATATCACAGTGCTTCTAGTAATCCATCCTATCATCTCCCATATTTTGAACACTATAAATATTTAACAAGATAAGAAGACAGTATAATGGTATCGTTTTGATGTAGTAGTACTGCATGAATGGGCAACTTCCACTGGAAAGGTGGCACATTTTACAGACACCTTGAATCTCAGAACAAATATTTTCTCTAGTTCTGAAAGTAAATGGAAATACTACATAACACAGAGAGAAAAGGAGTACTAACCCCAGCCAGTAAATACGAACCACCATACATATTGCTTATCCGAAACAAAGGTCAGCAAAAGCAGTGTTTGCAGGTAAATCCCTTCTATAAGAAGCCAGAAGAAATTGGCTAAAATACTGAACTGGAAGAATGCCACAGCAGCCTTACAAGCAACCTGGAAGTGCAGAAGAAAAAACTATTAGGTCTACTCTCTGTTGTGCCTGGTTTCTCTACAAGTGCAGGCAATATTCAATATTACCACACAAAAATGAAGAAATTATTACAATGTTTTGGTAGGTTTGAAATTCCATAATTTCAGTTGACTTTACTTCAGTTTTTAGAAAGGGAAGCATTGACCCTCTCTTATAAATAAAATTCTTCACTGATAGAAATTTTTACAGCTTCATTAGAGTGGACAGACTTGTACCTTATATATCAAAGCTGAATGTAGCCATAGCACTTCATCTTTGGGTTTGTTTAATATTGTTTGTTTTAAGATTTCAATTCTAGCAAACTAAAGAGAAATGGGATTAAGAAATCTCCATGTTCTTTTCAGGTAAAGAATTAAATGTTATATCAAGGATAAGTAAGAGTGGAATTTTAGTACCGTTGACATTAGGCAGTGGTCCATAGTTTCATCTGCAAACAAAACAGCATCTTTGGTGAAAACAGCAATTGCTCTCAGGATAAAGGAGACAAACAGGTGCATATGGATATAATTCCGTGTACAGTGGAATTTTCTGACATGAAAAGAGAAAATAAAAATTGTTCTGCAAGAGAAATTTCTTAGGGTCTCATCAAAACTCAGGAATACATGTGACTGCAGACACCTACCAAAGCAAATAAACGACCTGTCACTATTTGAGAGGGAGCTAGAAAAAAGCGAGCAGAGGAGTTATTATTTGTTGGCACTTACGGACATGGCTTAGCGGTGGACTTCACAGGTTTAGGTTAACAGTTGGACTTGATAATCTTAAGGGTCTTTTCCAACCTACATAGTTCTGTGATTCTATTTCTCTAGATTTCCCTCTCCATAGTTTTACCTGTTAGAATCTCCTTCAAGGTTTGGATATATCAGCCTCTTGGTCCTGGGGCCCTCTATAAGTGATATGAACTTTGAGACTACAAATCCAGTCCAGTTAGGAAGCTGATTCTGTGCTCTGTGCTCCCGCATGCAGAGCAAGCTTAAGGTTTTTGTCCAAGTGCATTGGAATCAACCAAAACCAGGATCCATTTCCTAACATCCAGCATCATCAAACATGACATTTAAATTTCTTTAAATCTCTTTCTATAGCTCCCAGTTATGGAAGTAATGGTCTTTAACAGAGGGAATGGACAGATGAGAATAACTTCTTGTTCAGGAGCAGAAGACACCCAGTTTCTGCAGAGCATGTCCTGCTATGCACTGGAGGAATGGTTATGTTAATAATGATAACAGGTTGGAGCATTTTCACTGTATGGTATCATCAAAAAGACTAGGACAGACTGCCTAGACAGTTCTATTTTTTTAACATCTGCAGGGAAATGTTACAACATGAATAGAGAAGGACCCATTGCTGTCAACGGTGTTTATGTCTGAGAAGGATTTGAAAATATCAATTAAAAAATACCACAAAACAAAACCACAGAGGGTTTGAGAAGTGGAATGAGATTATCTTAAGTCATCCTGAAAAAGAGACCATTGTTTTTTACCTGAAGGCAGCAAAGACAATTAGAGCTGTAATGAGTGAAGTCACTGATGCTGCATAGCCAGCAGTGTAGACACGCCAAAATGCAGAATAATATGATTTCTACAAGAAAAAGAGAACACAGACCAATGCTGGTGGTTATGCAGCGTGCATGCAGGTCTGCTTATTTCACTAAGATACATTTTCTCTTACCAGTCAATTTCATTACTTATCCACAGCTTTGTGTGCTGAAGATCTGCTTCAGGTTTTTCCCTCCATTGCTAACATACCTTTTTTTATTTTTGAATCCTACTTAACCTTACACGAGACAGGTTTCACAGCCCACAGGTTCATCTGCAATAGTGACCCCTTTGAGCACGTTCAATAGGAAAATGTTAACTTTGTTAAGTATGTTTTCCCTATAGGTACATGAAGACTCCAGGACACTGCTAAAGTGACTGAATCCATCACTTTAAAACACGCACAGATTCGATAAGTATCAGTTTTCATAAACAGCTATAGCTAAAAGAGAAGTAAAACTTGCATTTTTCAGGTGAGGAAACTGAAACACTGTGAAACAGCCATATGGTATTGTGGAGGTAGGAAAGTTTAAGCCAAGAAAATAAATTCACAGTCTTTGATTCTTTGGATGAATAGTTCATTCAGTTACTGCAATACTGTAAATTCTTTACAGTTTATTTGTTCATTTGTTTTGCATTCAAACATCCTATGTCCTGAGAAAAATGAAGAAGGCCTTCATTGCTTTATCTGTGCGAATTCTATTCTGATTCACTACATGATCACCTAATTATTTAAAATCCCAAGAAAACAAATTCTTTGAATCCAGGCAAATTTCCTCCTTGAAAAAGCAATGTACACTTTGTTCTTTAATTGATCCAAACTCTTGTTTATCCAAAAGGCAACAATCCTGGTTTTAGACAACCAATTAGCAATTTTAAATAGATTCATAAAGAATTATACAACCCTGGCAAACTAGGAATCATCCTGGTGTTTCTGAAATAGTCCTAATCTCTTATAAAGCATTTTCAAAATGCAGGTGAAAATTAGATAATAGATTCTTCAAGTGCACAATGAAATATTTTGATGCATTTTATCTAGTTTTTTAGGGCAACTAGAAAAATAACACTATATACAGATGTTACCATAAATCCTCACTGCAAGCATAAACCAATCTTAGAATATAAGTGAGATTTTTCTTACTTATTTCCTTATGTTTACAAGTAGAATTTACTGTTCTTATCTTCCTTTTGTAGACCTTGTGGATTTGACTGGAATAACGAACTAAACACTGTTGCAGCACGGACATGAGTTCTGCCTTGAAATCTTCTGTAATGTTAAAATGTAAATATAGTTCCTTGCTTGATTTCAGCCTAGGCCTGCTATGAACTATGCCTGGCTTAGCACAGTCCAAGGACTGCTTGGAGAAAGCCACCCTGGAGAGTAAGAGAGTTTAGCTCTGTGGGTGAAAGCCGTGGAATAGCAGCTGGCCCCAGGGCTGGAGAACTATGCTCCAGAATACATGCGCCCTTATGAGTCTTACATCCCTTCTGAACTGTTTATGCAGTTTTCAGAATATTTCCAGAAGATTTTTATGCATTTATCTTTCTAGCTTACCCACAATGTAAAGAAGTATAAATATACTTAGTTTACAGGTGGTGAATTGAGTTCCAGATATCTATGTTACCTGTTACAGCTGTGCTTGAGTTTCTAAGTTCATGGAGTCAAATGGCTGAAGCCAATTGTGTCTACGCTTCCTAAGGATGTGGATACCTGTACTGATACTTCTGTGCTTGAGCTTGCATGCCTGGAGAACCAAATGGTTTACTCCAGATAACAACCAGAGTGTTAGTGATGACAACCCACTTCACCTGTCTGTGTCTTGCATTGCCTAGTGATAAATGACCTTTTTGCCCTGTTGAATCATGACTGCACACTCACAACAAGCTATATGAGTTAGTCTTTTATTTTGTAGATTGGAGAGAGTCCCATTGTTTCTATCAGAATACCACAGTAGGAGGAGGAGGCAACGTGCATACACTTGTGCAAGATGTATGAGCTTTATTTTATCTAATACAGGCTGACATGGAAACACCCCTATTCTCTCTTGCTGGAATTGTCCTGTTTAGTAAAGGTCAGAACTCAAAGGCACATCTCAGTCGATAATCAACTTTCAGCCATAAGGCAAAGTTCACCACTGAGGCACTACCATCACCAAGGAAGAGTGAAGCATTTGTATCCTGGGACAAATATGATGACGAGGACCATGGAAATTTAAATTATATGAAGATATGGGTAAAAAAAATGTTGCTAGAGACAAATTGAGTACCAGTAATGATTGTCAGATAGGAAAAATAGGGGTTCACTTCCTATTTCCTATGATAGTGTGGAAATATTCAATGGCATCCAGGAGTTCCCTCCTAAAGACATGCATTGACCACTGTGCTATAAAGTTATGGAATCTTTTTGTCTGACTCGAAGAACATCTAGAAAAAAATCAACAGGTGGGGTCCAAAAGAACTTTCCCTGAAAAATTCTCCCCAGACAGATTGGTAGGACTTCCTTGAGAGATGGGTGCATGATGAGGATTCAAATTATCTCTGTCAGACAACCTAAGTCTTTGTTAAGCAGGATGAGCGAACTAACCATGAGTCTATTCTTTAACAGCAAGAGGAGACAATTGGACAGAGAAGAAAGTGTTACCTGTTACTCTCTTGCTTTATATTAAACCTAATTTTAATTTATCTATGTTTTAT